AAAAAAATATTTATTATGTCATAAAGATTAAATTGAATAAAAATATATAATATATAGATTAAATTAAAAAAATTAAAATATTGAGAAATTAAATTAAAAATATTTAAATATTTTAAATATTTAAGTAGATTATTAATATATTTATTAATAAATCAAATATTTTGGTATAAAAGATTTATTGCGTTAAAAAATATTTTTTTTTTCTTACTTGATTATTTGATTTTAGAATATATAAATTAATTTATTTTTTTTACAAAAATTAAGTTTGAATTCTCCTTCTATAAAAGAAGTTTTGAAAAAATTTTATACTTGCAATTAAATTTAGATGAATAACTTGTATTACGTTGAAATAAATAATATAAAATGATTAAATAAATTTTTTTTATATTTATAATAGTATAAAAATTTGAAACTAATTTAACTTAGTTTTTAACTTGATCTAAAGTCAAATTAGCAAAATGTGTCTATTTAGTTTTTAAAAAAAAAAATGAAAAATAGATATATGGATTTAACGATGATTATAAAAATAATTCTTTGTTCCCACTTATTTAATTGAGATATAATAAATCTCTTTTTATAATCATAGAATCTGAATTTCACTTTTTTATTTTTTATTTATTTTTTATATTTTTATTTTGTTTAATATTTCAAGTTATATTTTTTAAGTTGAAATTTCTTAAATTAAAAACTGCATTTATGGTTGATAAAGTTAGATATAACTATAAAAATTTTTACTATTTTATTTTATTAATAAATTTTTTATAGGTCTAAATTAATAATTTAAATTTAAATTTAGTAAATTTTGATTGTGGTATTTGAATTTAAATAAAATTTTTTTATAAGAAATTTTGAGTAAATTTAAATAAAATGTAAATTGAATAAGAGTTGAATAATTTCAAAAGAATGTGTATTTATAAATTGTGAAATTGTAGCTAAATCAACATATTTTGCTAATTTGAGTAAATTTAAATAAAAGGTAAATTTGGTAAGAGTTGAATAAGTTTAAAAGAATGTGTATTTGTAAATCGTGAAAGTTGCAACTCAATCAACATATTTAGTCATTTTATTTATTTTATTTTAATTTAATATAAATTATTCATCTAAATTTGACTTTAAGTATGAAATTTTTTCAAAATTTTTTTATAGAAAGAGAATTTAAATTTAATTTTTGTAAAAAAGATAAATTAATTTACATATTTTATAATCAAATAATCAAGTAAGAATATATATATATTAACATTATAAATCTTTTACACTTAACTATTTAATTTATTAATAAGCATATTAATAATCTACTTAAATATTTATTTTTTAAATTTTTTTTAATTTTGTTTCTCAATATTTTAATTTTGTTTAATTTAATCCCTATATTATAGATTTTTGTTCAATTTAATCTTATGACATGGTAAATATTTTTTCTGAAAATTTTTTTGATCTGTCACGTGATATTAACATATCAACATATTAGTGTCATATCAACACTGTCACGTCATTGTATAATGTCATGTAGCATTGTCACATCATTACTCGATGTCACATGGCATGCCACGTCATCATTTCAACCTCACATTATCAAAATGTGATGCGTTTGCATGAACATCATTTTCTAACGACAAAATTGGATGTCGTTAAAGGAAAAGACTAAATTGATGCAATTTTCAAAACCAAGAGATTAAATTGCTTCAATTTTAAGTATATAACCTAAATTAAACAAAATTGAAGAGCGTAGGGACTGGATAGGTTTTTTAAGCATTGTTCAATTCTTCTTCTTTCTGTATATTATCAAAAATGATCATTGAATAAATTTTTATTACTCTTTTTATGGCATTGAAAAGTTTTAATGGAGAAAATAAGTAGTCAAATACCAGAATTATAAAGTAATGGTTAAGTACATCAAGTAGATTCCAACAACCTAACATTTATTAATGGAATATTCAAAATTGAGTAATTAAACACACTGAAAAACATTAAATTAATATTTGGATTAAAATTTTAATTCCCAATTCTTGGATATGAAATCTGGGGAATATGCAGGCAAGAATTCCTTTCATTGGGTTGGTCCGATTCCAAGGGTGACCATCATGGAACCTGAAGAAATAAGAGAGATATGTACCAAATTCAATGACTTTCAGAAGCCGCATACCAACCCTCTTGTCAACTTACTTGTAACTGGACTTGTAAGCCTCGATGGAGAGGAGTGGGCTAAGCATAGAAAGATCATCAACCCTGCATTTCATCAAGATAAGTTGAAGGCATGTTCTATTTTCACTTTTGATTTCTTTATCAATATGCATCCTTTAATTATCCTGGGTGAGGTAATTATTGCAACTGAGTAAGAGTAGCACTGTGTATTCCTTCCTTGGTTTGTTTTGAGTGTTGTGGCTGATGAGGAAGCCTTTATGGGAACACGTAGAAAATGCAGTAATAATGGAGAAACATCAAGGAAAATTTATGGCTCCCTGCACCAAAATTAACTTATTTCATCCCAAATTTGCTTACTGTGTTAATGAGTACTTAGTATATACATGTATTAAATGTTCAAAAAGAAGTACCAATTACGGTGACCTTATCCTGATGTGGAAATCATTACAGAACATGTTGCCAGCATTCTATCAAAGTTGTATTGAGATGATCAGCGAATGGGAGAAGCTGGTTTTCTTAGAGGGGTCTAGTGAGTTAGATGTGTGGCCTTACCTCGTAAAATTGACAAGAGATGTGATTTCCCGAGCAGCATTTGGAAGCAGCTACGAAGAAGGTAGACGAATTTTCCAACTACTAGAGGATCAAAGCAATCTTACAATGCAAGTAATACAATCAGCTTACATTCCGGGATGGAGGTAAAAATTTGTTATTTTTCAAAGTTCAATCCATTTTGTTCAAGGGTTTTCTTCTTTATGTGCTAAAAGCTATATTTTACTTTTGTCTTATTAGGCATTTACCAACTAAGACAAACAGGAAGATGAAGGTGATTGCCAAAGATATAAAGGACTCACTCAAGGGAATGATAAAGAAAAGAGAGGAGGCAACTAAGGCGAGTGAAGTCAGTAATGATGACTTGTTAGGCATACTTGTAGAATCCAACATTAGAGAAATTCAAGAACATGGGGATCATAAGAACATGGGACTGAGTATTGAAGATGTGATTGAGGAGTGCAAGCTGTTTTACTTTGCTGGTCAAGAGACCACCTCCGTTTTGCTGGTTTGGACAATGGTTTTGTTGGCTAGGCATCCACATTGGCAGAGTAAGGCAAGAGAAGAGGTTTTGCAAGTTTTTGGTGACAGTAAACCAGATTCTGATGGCTTGAGCCGTCTGAAAGTCGTAAGTCCTGTTCTCCAACTATAATGGACCAAATTAAGAGCACACATTTCCATATTTACTTTAATTAATTCACTGCCGCAGGTAACAATGATCTTGTACGAGGTTCTCAGGCTGTACCCCGCAGTCATTGCACTAGGGCGCTCTGTTCCGAAAGATACGAAACTGGGAAACTTCTTGTTACCAGCTGGTGTAGAAATTTCAATGCCAGTGCTGCTGATTCAGCATGATCAAGAACTTTGGGGCGAAGATGCACATGAGTTTAATCCTGACAGGTTCTCGGACGGGGTTTCGAAAGCAACAAAGAGTCAAGTCATATATTTCCCTTTCGGATGGGGTCCTAGAATCTGCATTGGACAGAACTTTGCTCTGATGGAAGCAAAAATGGCGCTTGCAATGATCCTAAGACAATTCTGGTTCGAGCTTTCCCCTGCCTATGCTCACTCTCCCTGCGCCTTAATCACTCTACGTCCACAGCATGGTGCTCACATAATTTTACATAAACTTTAGTGCTAAAACCATCAGGTTATATGTCAAACCACCCAATCAATAATCACATCCATAGTTCATGATGTAATACTATTCAAATGCAAGCTTAGGGGCCAAGTGTCAAACTCTCAGTAAAGCAATGTATATATGGGATGAATTACTAGACCTTAACTATGGTGGTTTTTCTTTTAAGCAACAAAGAAGATCTTTGAGGCATTGAAAATGAAACTCATGATAATCAATCTGGCTGTGAAATATCTCATTGGCTCAAGGTTCAAGAGTATCCAAAGTCTCACATAAGTGACTCTAAGTTCACTTGTCCAAATCTGAAACCCAATTACCCATTGGTTAATTTTGTACCATTTTTCAGGTTTCTTCAAACGGTGGAAACAAGGGCTTTCAAACAGAGGTTTTGGGTGTTTCCCATCCTAGTTGAATTTTATTGAACTGGTGTAATATTAACACTAGACTCTTAATTTGGTTTGCATTTCAACCAAAAAAAAAAAGAAAAAAAAAAGAAAGAAAAGACTCCTTAATTGTTTAAAAATAATAAATAAAAATTAGCAATAAAACACACCCAGAAAAGTAAAAGAATAATCTAGAGAATATTTCCTCAAATATTGTTTTATTGTTAACAACTGATCAATTTTTTAATCAAATTTAAAATATAATCTTAAAATTGAAACTCAAATTTAAATTGAACCCGAGGAAGTGGATGACAATTAACAAATTGATCTTTGTATCATTAAGCTTTTGGGCTAAAATCCACTGTTAGCTCAAGAATTGCTCATTTGAAAAGTAAAACTCCAACTTTATTACATCTTCCATGCCTGTTTATTTGCACCAAGTTTCCTCCAATTATTATAACAGGCCATGGGACTATGCCACATTAATGGTCATTACCCAGTTTGCTCCTTTAATTTTTTTTTTAAAAAAAGGGAAAAATCTAAATCAAATCATAGAAAGAATAATAAGAGATCTACCATTTAGGGCAGTAGAAATTTGGGGCAGTTTCCCTGAAATTGAACATGAGTAAACAAAAAAACATGCAAAATCCTCGAGACTGCCCCAGAAAACTAACTCTAGGCCGGGTGAAATTGAGCTCTCACATTTCTTCAATTAAGCAAGAACTCATTTGGAACGGCCAAAACAGGAAGAGAGAATCCAGTAGAATGTATAATACCTTTCTGTAATACCTTTCTGCCAGAAGAGAATTCGCTTGCAGAAATAGAATCGATAGAAAGGAATTATTGTGGGTTTTTCTTTATATGCCCGCAACGGAACAAGAGCGCCACTTCGAATCAAACTTCGCTCTGTTCTCTCATAGGCAATATTGAAAACCCTAGCGCCGGCTTCTTTCTTATTTATAGGCAGATGATTAATTCGATTTTCCCATTTTGCCCCTAACGTCCTGTTAAATTAAGATAACATTTAATAGGAGAAAAGTAGAAACAAATTCTTTGTAAAGTATTTAATTAAATTATATTATAATATTTATTTTATAACATATTATTATAATATAAAATTACAATATAATCATATTACAGTTAAAAAATGTAATGTGATTACAGTTTAAAATCAATACAATCACATTACATGTATATTGTAATATTTTTAAAAATATTTTTATTTTTTAATTTTATTAATTTATTAAAAATATTTTATAATATTATAATTAAAATAAAAAATATTTAAATAAAATATATAATATAAGAATCAAAAATTAAAATAAAATAAAATATAAAAAATTAAAATTTATATAATATAGGTAAAAGAAATTAAAATAAAATATATAATATAAAAAATTATATTAAAAAAATAAAAATAAAATGTATAAAATTATAATAAGAAGTGAAAATAAAATATATGATATTAAAAGTATATTTAAAAGATGATATTATATAAAATTAATAATAAAAAATATAAGTATAGTAAACTTACATTTTAATAAATAAAGATAATTTTAAAAATTAACATTACATTCTCAACAAAATACTTGTAAACGTTACAATGTTATCTTTATTGTATTTTAATTATTATTTTACTTATATACCAAATACTGTAATATTATTTTCTTTACAATTATATTACGTGCAATCACATTGTATTGTAAAGTACTAAACGTTACCTAAAGATTATTGTATATTCTGTAAAAAAATTTTAAACTCCTACCAATTTATATAATTGACACTTGTCTTTTTCATAATTACATTAATTCCGTATTGATATTAATCTTTTCATATTTCTTTATCAATTAACGGTTTAAAAATAAATATTTCAAAAAATAATTAAATTACTTATACTTAGAATTTGTGAATGAGATTTGATAAAATAATGTAGTTTTTTCTTCTTTATAGTTAGGCTTTGTATTTTTATGTTAACAATAAATGACAATAAAATATTTTTAATTGTTTGTATTCTACTTTATGCGTTTTTTTTTTCAATCATTAGACTTATTTATGACTATTTATTGATTTGTCTATGATTTTTTATTTCCCTTTTTTTAATATTTATTGTTATTTTATTGGTTTATCCATCACTTTCAATCAACAAAATACTTTGTGAAATATTTCAATTATGTTAATTTTTTATCGAATATTAACGTAATTGAAAGTATATTGATAATTTAATAAAATTGAAATAGAGTGATAAAATTCAAAATTCAACTATAGAATAGAAACAAATTTTACCTTTAATCCCCTTTTATTTTATTACTTTCTCATTATTTTTTTTAATTATTGACAGACAGTCTTCAATGCAATGCAAAATGCGAATGTTATGCATCAACTTAGAACGACTTGACATATATTTAAAGACCCTTCTTATACAAGTGTATAAGGATCGGGAAAGGTGAAATAACCCTACCAATTTAAGTTTCAGGACATGTGTAGCTTTTATGGACTAGGATCAGGAAAGGTCCACATGAAGATATAAACTTGCATCAAGCAAGGTATGCATGCAAGGATACCCTCTCCGAATACCTAAGATACTGCCTTTAAGGGGTAATGATCCTCTCCATTGCTAAGAGATAGTGTCCACTAGTTTTGCCATAAGCTGACATATGTACTGTCAAACCAATCTAACATCACTCTGCATCACCATCTATAGTGCTTTCATCAACTTCAGTTCTCAAATCAAATTGCTTCCTCCTCCAAACTATAAACTATCACTAACCAAATATCACACGAGATAAAGTGCGGTAAGGAGGCTTACCAAATATTTTATATACCCTATCTGATGAAGGTCAATATATGTGCAACCAACGATATATCATAGAGTACTCCAAAGCATATCAAGAGACAATGAAAGAAAGAACCTTACTTCAAAGTTCAAAGCAGGGTGGAGCTTGGAAGCATCATATCATTACTAATCATCATCCTGGGGACCTTTAAGCAGCACATAACAAAGCAAAACTAGAGGTGCTCTTGATAGAGAATTAGTTCTGATTGATGGCTGTCTTATTGAAGATTCTAGTCTTCTTTACAACAATTTAACAGGGAATGCGCACTAGTTAGTCATTGACAATGAAAATAAGTGAGGCATGCCAAGACAACTAGTTAAAATAGTCAATCAATTTTCTTTTCCACCCTTGCTTACTTTGTGTTACCAGAGGGACTTAAAAGAGTAACAGAATTTACATCCAGTTATTCATTTCTCTTAGGAGAAGATAGTCGATGATTTGACCATTCTTCTAAAGCTTTATGGTGGAGAGAATTCATTTTAATATAAGGTCGCCTTTCTCGTATGTACTTCTCAGCCCTTCCCCAGTCTTCTGCAACACCTAAAGCCACCAGTAATGCACACATCACCACAACACTTCTCCCATGACCTAGAAGGATATGGAATTAAGTATACTGCTTACAGAAACAACTTTCTTTGCAAAGCATGTAAAGAAATTAGCTACATGGTAATGCTATGCAAACCATATAACAATTTAAGAATTTCAAATTCCTAATATCCTGCAATAATATACTTAGTAATGTTATAAATTATTACATGCCATTAATATCATAGAAGTCCACTAATGATATGTATTTGTTTCTCTTAAAGAAGAAAAAATTTGAAGTGCCTCTTAGGGTTTCATTCTTCAAATTTCTAGATATTAATTCAAAGTAAAAAATGCACCACAAGACAAAAGCAAAAATAATATTGAAACAAAAAGAAGTATGCAAACCATATAAACAACTTAAGCATTTCAAATCCCACATATCTTGCAAATAATAATACTTTATAAAGTTGTAAAATATCACATGCCATTCAAGTTCATAGAAGCCTCTCACTAATGACATATTGACATTCATTTATTTCTCTTATAAACGAAAGTTCCTGGTGCCTTTCTGCTTAGGATTTCATTCTTCACGTTTGCAGAGAAAATTTCACAACAATTGTAAAGGCACCAAAGATGAAGCCAAAATATATTTCATCAGGAAAAAGCAATAAATGAGGAGGAGACAACTGCTGGTGAGATCAAAATTTTCAAAAGCGGCTATTGAAAAAGTTCTAAAATGATAAAGCTCAAAACCTCTTTCGTACTTTTTAAGTGATAATCAAATTATACTTCCATGTGTCAGTACTAGTGAATTAGGATTAACTCTACATTTTTCAATTGGCAAGGTTGAGATATACTTGTTTTTTTGTCTTAACCTAATTTGTGGCATGGCCAATGTTTGTCCATATATATACAATAAGGAACAATGCCTGAAAATGCCATCAAACTTTATTCTAAAATGAATTTAGGCGCTCCAACTTTTGTCACGTTCAACAAAGAATATGAACTCCTAACTAATGCAATCAGCCCATAGGTGTCATCAGATATGAAAATTAGGGTGTAACTTGTTAAGCAGGTAAAATGCCAAAATAAAAAATGTTGAATAGGATTAAATATGTCCAAGTGGGCAACAAAATTTTATAAACAAACTTCTTGGTCCTCTTTTATACAGCTAATGAGATTGTTGGTGTTAACTAGCAACTATAGGCCTCCTGAGGCTGGATCAAGGGTTAAGCTGGCTAAAACTAACCTAGAAATGCCAATCGCAACATAGAATTGAAAACCAAGGTCATTCCAACCTCAACAGCCAAATACTAGCAGAAAGTGCATGATTTGCTCCCAGTCAACTGGACCTGTCCAATAGAAGGCTAGTTCAGAGCAAATCTAGCACTAGCTAGCTTGGATTGAACAGATGAGGCTGAAAACAACCTAACCACCAAACTGACCTACATCAATCATTCTCAATACTCATATAAGATTCCATATGTCCTCGATTAGACTTGAACAACTTAATAGTCCTAGTACTGTGGCTGAAAACTCAAATTTTCACATTGTAAACTTGCTTTAGCCAGTAAAATTCATCAAACCAGCAAGATCATTTAGTATGGAAACAAGTGAGGGATGGGAAGGAACCAAAGAGCATCGTTCATGGTATCAAGATAATGTCCATAGACAAAGACAAATATTAATTTCTTAGAGTATTTTTATCATTTCATTTTTAAACTGCTCATATTTAGTAGTAATAAACTTTATTACAAATTAAGAGTTAAGACCCAAGCAGATAATCATTTCTATAATAAAGTATCATAGGAATGATGCTTTTCAAAAGATGCAGTCAACTGGACGTTGTTGTCCAAATGCCATCCAGAGGACTCTTGCTCTTCTGTATGACATCAAAAATTAAACAAGGCAACTATCCAAGCAAGTTAGAGACTACATTCTTCCTTTTACTCAAATAAAGACAATTTCGCCAAAGGTAAAATCTTTGGCTTAATAATGTGACTACCTTACAACACTCGCCTAGATGAAGATATAATGCAAGCACCTGAAAGACATTCATGAAGACTGATAACTAATACGCAAGATGCCATATTTAAGCTTAGTAGTCCAAGACAAGAATCAAACCACTTACAAGGTAATAACAAGAGAAAACTCAGAAATGAAATGAACAAGATACATACCATAGGCACAGTGGATGAAAACTGGCTTATTTTGAGCTCTCTTTCTACAAGCCCATTTGACAGCTAATTCGATCTGGCCTGGGTCAGGAGCCCTCGTGTCCCAAGTGGGAACGCATAAGTACGAGTGCCCCTTTAACTCCATTATTCTTGGAAACTCAGACGTGCAATCGACAATAGCAGGGTTACCAGGCGGCAGTAAAGAAGGTGACGAAGGCCAGCCACCGACATATACACCCTCACATATTTGGGAGTAAGGTTCTTCCCCGCTAACGAATCTTCTCAACATTGAGAAAGCTCTGACAAAGTACAAATAAGGGAAGAACATGATGTTGGACCAGATTGGAAAGGTCCCATCTGGATTTTTACCCAAAATCATGGGAAGATTGATCAACGGGTGAGACGCTATTGAGACAAGATAAGAGATCAACGATGCATACAAGAAAGGTACGGCCAACACCGTAAAACCAAATCTCCTAAAGAATACAAATAACAAGAACCATGCTGTTGCCTTCACTGCTATCAAGACTGATAGCCCCAAACCCATCTTTGATTCACAATCAGACACCCAAAAACAAGAATTTCCAACTCAACAAGATTCACAAGTCTCTTGATAAATTGACAACAAATCTCTTCATCTTTTGGCCATTGAAGCACCAAAGTGGACAATAAGTGAGATTTTGCAAGTAGGTGTACGGAGCATCAAGAAACAACATTCTGCACGAAGCTCCCTTTGTTGTTCTTCATGTGCGCTCCTATTCATACTCCATAGCTTTTTCTTTTTCTTTCTTGGGGAAGGGGGACAAAGAAAGGAATAAAGAAGATTTGCGTATATTTACTCGTACTCAAGCTTTTGTATATAACCTAAAAGAAAATAAAATGAAAATTTATTTAACAGAAATAAAATTAAAAATGTGTATTCCTATAAAAAAATATATAAATTCATAAATAAGACAAATATATATAATTATGATATATATATATATATACACACACACAATATTTTTTCAAAATAAAAATATAATTGGGAAGTTTAGGCTGTTGGACTAAAATACATATAATACACCTTTTAGTATATGTGATACATGCGTTTTTGTTGTTTATTTTTAATATTTTTAAGTCCGTATATACATGTGAAGAAGGTAACCATTATGTTTTGTTATGATATTTGATTATCAATTAATTACTTTAAATTAAATAAATTCATTTTTTGTTTAGTGAATTTCATTTGAAATATAAAGATAGTGGGATTTTTTTTTATTTTAATATCAATTCTAAGACAAAGAAGCAATGAAAAGGTCAGTGAATGTCGAATGTTTATCCTTTTATTATGCTTGTCTCAAATGACCTTGATACCATTGAGAATTTAAGATGCCATAGCAAATCAGATTTATTACTTATTAGACCAAGACAATGGCAAATTGGCAACTAATGAGGCCTACAATGAGCAACTGAAGAAAATCACAATGCCATGTTCATTCCATGGAAATATATGCATGTATTAGCCTAGGTGTTACTTGCTAAGAAAGTAGAAATCCACACACAAAGGTCCCATGAGGAAACCAGATAAATTGGGATTGAACTCCAGAACTCCTAAAACAGAGAAAGGATCCATCTTCGACCTTGAAGCTTGGACCAAAATGAAATGTGACAGTTTAGCATTGACTTGAACTTGCAGGCAGCACAAAAGTTTCTTATGATCGCCTTCTTCACCCCTTTTTTTGTCCTTTCTTCTCCTCTTCTTTTTTTTTACAAAGAGTTTGTAACTTTGACCCCATTGAACAACCTGTTATCAGCAAATTCCCGTTCCATGTAATCCAAAAATTCACCAGTAAAACCCAACACAAGGTGAGAGGAGAGAGTCCAACAAACACATGAAGCAATATCACTGTCAAACAAAGTAAAGGAAAATTCCATAACGAAAGTGCCTGGTAGAAGTAATTTCACAATTCACAAACTATTGATCCCAAAAGGAATAAAAAACAAAAACAATAGACGACATAGTGCAAAGCAACTAAGCTTTATCATCATGAACAACAATCAGCAACAGCATTTCAAACTAGCACAAGAAAAGACCATTCTTCTTAATAGATTGGAACAGAAGTTTTTCTTTCAAGCATTTGCCACTCAGCAAATTCGCACAAGTCTATACCTTAAAAGAATGGACAGAAAACTATATACCTTGAATGTATACTCTCATTGACCCAATGATCCAATGCTGTTTGGTGGCCATACCTAACAAACAACAGGTTAGAAAAATGCTTCAAGTAATTTGCAAAAATTGACCGGAGATTTGAAACATATAAAAAATAAATAGAAAGACTTGGTAAATTTAACCACTTAGCCACCATTTGAGCGATCAATTTTAGTGATGACATGTCAAATATACCAATTCTTCATATCCACGTTCATGGACGACGCAAGTCAAGCCAACATAACCTTAATGTATTGAATGCATACTCATGTTCTAAACCTCTTCACATGCAAGATTACGAAAGAAACCTTACTCATCACTATCTGCACCTTGTTGTCAATTCTTTCAGCAATATGGAAAAGTTGATAAGCCAAAGGCCTAAATATGTATATCAAATATTTGCTTCTCTGGAGAAAAGTTAAGTTAAATCCCTATCTTGGTAACATAGACAAAGCTTAACTTAAATTTTCAAAACAAAGCTACCAAGTCAGACCATGTTTACTGATTTAACCTGAATCCAGTATGCCCTTTTAGACACATTCATATCAATAAAATAACACAAAAGCCAAACTAAAATAGTTCGAGTCTCAACCACAAAATCCTAAATCATTTAAAACTGGTTAAGTTGACACATAAGATAGGTGAAACCAATTTATTGAGTCACTTAAGTGTTGTCTCTCCATTTTGAGAATCGAAAATTTCTTCTCAAAAGGATACCAAAAATGCAGTTCTTATGATATAAAAGGACTAAAAGTGAACTGAATCAAAGAAAGGGAAAAAACATAAATGTAAGTTGACAAAGAAATCATACACTAATTAACTCTAGGTTTAACATGGGCCATGTATTGCCAATTCCTACAAAATAAAGATAGTGCAATTCAATATTGGGAACAAATCCAAAGGCAATTAGAATTTGCATTACTTACCCTCAGCAACACTTTCCCTTTAATAAGACCATAAGGAACAGGCCCAAAATGTCGTGAATCATTAGAAGCATACAAGTTATCCCCTTGAATCCAAACATGTCCCTTTGGAACCTATCCATTTAAACCCAAGTGAAAATAACAGAAAAAATGATCATTCAAGAATCTAATCATACACACACACACACACAAAGTAGCAATCTTTCACCTTGGTGCTCCCCACGAAGAAAATAAAAAGAGCATTTAGCAAAAGTAAAAACTGAATGGAGCTTCGGTAACTAATGATAACTTTTACTACTTAATTTATGCTAATTGTTTTTTGCTTCGTGAAAAATTGCTAAAATGCACAGAAATTTCAACATAATTGTTTTATATCAAAAGAATCAAGCATTTAAATTTTTAATTATGCATTAGTTGCGAAAGCATCAAAGAAGCAAAACCAACAATCCTAAGCCTATTTTTCATGATTTAGCTATATCTAAGGCTTACAAAATTCAACAATAAAAAAAAAATCTCAGCTTTCAAAATAAGGCAGACCCAGTTAAAAGGACGAAGAGCGTACCACGAGAGAACGAGAGCTATGGCTTCGAGTGGGGTCCAATGAGAAGGCAACTTTATCACCTTCCATGGCTACAATGCGCTTAGTCAAGGTCTTTTTAGGGTCGAACGGCGACCGAACCAGGACCACGTCACCCGGACCCAATTTGCCCACCCGATGAGACAAGTGTTCGGCTAGTACGACGTCGCCGGTTAGGTTTAACGTTGGCAGCATGCTAGGACCCAGCACCTACACACATTCAATTAATTCCTAAAAAAAAAACATTAAAAAGATGGAAAAGGGAGAGTTTTGATAAAGTTACAGACATGGGTAGGGGAGAGGAGGTAGGAGTCGGTGACGTGAAGGAAGCAGAGGAATTTGACGACGATAAAGGCTCGATCCATGGCTTCTTTTGCTAGGCTTCTCCATTGTCTCATTTTTCTTTTCCTTTTTGGGTTTAACTTTTGTTCTATGAAACTTAAAAGCAAGGCGTTCGAATCAACCGTCGCAAGGGAGGGCCTTGGGTTTCATTCTCGGGGCCCCAAAAGATAATTGGGTAAATTAATATAACGTCCCTATTTTAAACTTAATCACACGTTTGACCCAAAAATTCTGTTTTACAAAAGTCACAAGGGAATTCTCATTCCTTTCACTCCTATACTAAACACTCTGGTTTACCTTGTCTCTCTGTTCTCTCATAAATAATATAAGGACTTGATCATCATTGGCAATCCCATGGCAGATTTTAACGTCCACACAACACAATCCAAAAGTTAAAATTCCCTTTCATACATTGTAAATGCATTATCTAGCATAGTCCAACATGCTCCCATGCATTGTCATACCTAGTTATTTAGTTTGTACACAATCTGGAAATGAAGAAGTATTTATTGATGACCTCAAAAACTTTATTGTGGCAACAATTTAATTGAGAATTATTTTATTCTCCAGACCAATCTATAATTGAATAAAAATGACATTAGGAGCTCAAGTCAAAGCTCAATACCTTGTATGAATATACAACCAGTCACAAGGAACCTGGATTCAGCAACACTAACCAACTAATGTGCTAGGAAAGCTCTTTCTATATCAGTAGAGGCTTCAACTTCAAGCCTTCTCCTTTTCTGCCTCAGCTATTTTTTGCAAATAATCGTGTCCTCCTTCAAGGAAGTTCTCGTACTGTGAAACGTTATCTAACTAGTCAATCCTTTCGAGATTAAACATCACCATGTCTTCAAGAGCTAACCGAAAAGCGCTCTGAGGAAGACACTGTAGATTCTTAATTGCAAGATCAGCTCTCTCTTTTGCTAACTCTTGCGCTCTTTCAATTCCTCCACATTTCTTGACCAATTCAATTGCTTCATCAAGAGAACCGGTCTCACAGAACTCCGATTCAATGATTTCTCTAAGTTTTGGCTCTTTTTCTAGAGCAAAAATTACTGGTGCTGTCAGGTTGCCTTTCACTAGATCACTACCAGCTGGCTTCCCCAGCTGCTCAGCTGATTGTGTGAAATCCAATATGTCATCAACAACTTGGAATGATAGACCAAGATTCTTCCCGAATTCATACATTTGCTCAGTGACACTACGATCAGCCCCACTAAAAATAGCAGCTCCTTTGGTACTAGCCGCAATCAAAGAGGCTGTTTTGTAGTAACTCTTTAGCAAATACTCCTCAAGTTCAAGGTCACAGTCAAACAAACTGGATGCCTGCTTAATCTCACCACTTGCAAAATCCTTAATAACCTGCAATACCATTAAAGATTACAGTTTCAACTAATTTAACAAAAATATCAATATTTGAAAACGATCTCGATAGCCGGAGACACTTTCAATCCTAAATTTTGAATTTTTGAGTCAAATACAATATATACCCACATTTACATCCAAAAGAGATGATAAATGCTTGGCATAGGTCATACTAACCTGGCTGATGAGTTTAATGACTTCAAGGTTTTCAAGATTTGCAAGGTACCATGACGACTGAGCAAACATGAAGTCCCCAGCCAGTATTGCAACTCTTGTGCCAAACAGTTGGTGAACAGTTTCTTTCCCTGCAGTTAAGTTAGCAGCAGTCCCAAATCAGGAGTAGTCTCCCAAGTGATAAAAGACCCTTTCATGAGTAAAAGACCTAGCAGCCTGAATTTGTACAACCATCACTGCTGTTCATCTCTATTATTATTTATTAGTATTAAAAGTTAAAATCAGTCAGTCCCAATTATTCCCCGAAATGGTAGATGCACTAGTCCCTCTCCCTAATATGCACTGACAAGAAAACTGGCCAGAGTTTTGCCCCTCAATCACCACCACAACCACCAAGAAAATTAGCTACCTATCTATGAACTATGGTGTAAATAGACGCCCCACAGGTACATAGTCATTCCATAAATCAGTAAATCTGTAATTGTTGTGTCCTGAAATAGAAACTACTTTTCTGCCCTTAGCCAAGGGTAAAGAACACTGAAATGCAACCTCAATTATTAAATGCAAAGAAAAATCAATGTATGGATTCCCCATAATTTTAGACCATCGCATTTGCCTAACAAAAACTAGAAAAGACTGGGCATTCACAGGAGACATAAGTTCAAGAAAGACAACAGCAAGATGGGGAAAGAAAAAAAAAACTCCTAAAACAAGTCAAAAACAAGGAGGGAAAATAGAGTGCGAAAAAAAAGTGAAAAGAGTACAAAAATAAAGTTTGATAAATTAAGTTCAATTGACAAGATTACAAGATTATACATGACAGGGTTCAACATAGCTTCTAAAACAACATCTACCGTTGCAAAATAATTTTTACATGACTCTTTAAAAACGAAGAATTATTAAAGAATCTCTCGTAAAATACTGGAAAAGTATATAATATTTCTTTATTTCACAAGTTTCCATTCTTAAACTTTTCTTTTCCCCTTTTCTGTTCTAGAAGCTGCATGCTTCTAGATAAAAGAGATGATCAAGGTATGAACTCTGAACCTTCAACTACGACCTAGAGTTAGCATAAATGAACTTTGCACGCCAAGATGATTCATTGACAGGAAGAACCATCATGTTCATTACTCAGGTCTATTTAAAGAATCTAATTTATATTATTGATCATGTGCAGTCAAGAGAAATAACTACAGACCTATAGAAGAAAACAATATTTCTTAATTAACTTGAATAGAAGAACTAATTACTCCTCAGATTTGAGATTGCTGCTATTTAACTTTGACACTTGAATAGAAGAAAAACACATTACACACGAAGAAATGATATTAAATATAGAGGCCAACCTCTTCGCGTGTCACTTTCATCTAATACATCATCATGTATCAAGCTTGCAGTATGGATCATCTCAATGATCTCAGCCAAACGCCGATGCTTTGTGGTAAGTTCCCTGGAAAGGAAAAAGCGCAGAATGGACGTCAATCTAAAACTAAAGCTAAATGTGTTGAGTATCTTAGCAAAGAGTTGTGAACATTACTTCAATCCAACTAACTCTGCTGTAGCTCTTGAAACTAGGAACACCAAGGCTGGTCTCATTCTCTTACCACCAGCGCCAAAGATCTGCCCAGCTGCAGCCATCAGAACAGGGTTCTCTGCACCGACAATCTAGCAGAGCATCATCATCAGATACACTAACATTACAGGACAGGCATCCTAGTTCCATGGGCTAAGCCAGCGAATAGAAGGCCTTCTAGAAACAGATAACATAGCTAAACAGACAACAGCATAAATGAAAATAAGAAGGTATTACCAACTAATCCATTCACAAAGCTGTATACATGTAAGCAGAAATGCATAAATATCTATAGCGGTTTTTGCTGAGGTATTAAGAAATTATTTTTAGAATAAAAATGCTATCTGGCACTCAAATAAACCAAACCATACTTCATATACTCAAAGGAGATTGAGTAACTGACTTATAGAATCAGTCAGGTGATAATAAATTCAGATAGAAAACTAATTGATGAAAGAGTCTAACAGTTTGATTACAAAGTTAATAGCTTTGGGTCTCACAGTCTCCATAATTTGAGGGGCAAGAAGAAGAATTGGCCGAACAAAAGGATTCCAGTTAGTCAACAAAATCAAGTTGATGTGTCACCACCATTAGCATGAACTACCTAATGCATCATTGACAAGCAGCATATGAACATTCACCAGTGGATCAAATGAGATCCCCAAACAAACCCCCGCCCACCACCCCCCCTTTCCCCTTATCCCAAACATGCAAAAATGTGCTATATCATAACAGGACTAATAAGGGCATAACATTTAAGATCTTTATTATGAGCACTTACTGACTGGAGATTTTGATTTAGAGTCTGGAGGTCATCAGCAACCACTTTAAACAAGTTTGCCAGTGAAATTGGGCTTCTGAGCTCTTTCTTCAAATCCAGCACTGGTGCAGTGCTTCGACCAACTCCTATATTGAAGTTAAAAGTTGAAAAAGAAATATAATTCCAAGTACTGAACTCAATACGAAACTTAAAAAAGTATGCTAAAAGCAAACACAACGATTAGCAACAAGAAAAGCAACAAATTATAAGTCTAAGAAAGAAGCATAAGATGAAAGTTCAACAATCCGTCGGTAACAAACACGGAATCTCTAAACAAAGTCTCAACTATTGTTGTCAGGAAAAGGAAAACAAAAACGGCTAAAAAATTGATTCCAAGTATCTGAACTCAGCTTAATATCTATAAAACCAATTTATTATATGCTATTAGTTAAACACATTCTGCTAAATCAATTTCAAAAACTTATCAAAAAGGAGCTAAATTCTATAGAAGCAAGTACAAGAAGAAATTTGAATTACTTTCCAAAAATGCAATAATAAATTTGGATGATGTTTGGGCATCAATATATTACCATCAAGCAGAGGCTCTGGAGCTTTGGTGGAGAACACCCGACTTCCAGTATTGTTTTGCCTGCAGTACACTACTCTTCTACCTACATAGCCTTTACAACTAACGTTTGAGATTGTTTTTCCATAGTTCTTCACTGAGTGCCTTTCAATTGAAGCATTAGAAGAAGTGCCGCAAGTAACCAAATCAAGCACTCTTGTTCCAAAATCAAGATTATGGCATGTCACTGACATCATTCTTGATACCAACACCCAGAAGAAAAGGAAAAAGAAATAAAAAAAAAAAAAGAAGCAAAACTGCAAAAGTTTCACTCCTTATATGAAAAGCCCAAAAATAGAAATAAAATCTTTTGTCAATTTCCCATAAAAACAACCAGAGAAATGGAGAACCAAGCCGAAACAAAAACTGGGTATTCAACAAAAAACGGTAAAACAACTTCAAAAGAGCTCAAAAGGGGTGTCTTCAAATTAAAAACCAAAAAAGTAAAGAAAGCAGGTCCCCTTTTTCTTAGAAGAAAATGTACTCCAAAGCTTAGAAGCGTTCAAATAAATTTGGGTGGATGAAAAGAACCCACATGGGAGCTTTTGTACTTTTGTCCTACACTGCTTATCAGTTCAATGAAGAGCTTGAGAGGCTAGTGATGGTTTGGACAAAAATAAAAGGAAAAAATGAGAGAAGAGTTTTGTTTGTTTCAAACCATGTAAGAAAGAAACAGAACCAAGTTGAAGATTTTGTGAGGGAAAATCATGGAAATGAGAAAAAAATAAATAAACGGCCTTAAGTTTATCTGCGGGTCAAAATCGGGAGGCCTCATAGCAACTCGGCATTGGTGGTCAAAACAAGAGCCATGTACTATTTTTCCTTCTCTCCCTCCCTCTTACAATTGAGTGATCTATAGAGATCTGATTTTCCTAGCCACGTGTGTGATTCTTGTTGGCCATTCTCATTAAATAATCATTTATGATAATAATAAAAAT